CACGTTGATGAGTTTTACGATACTTATAACATATACAATAAACCAATATCTCCGAGATACGAAAAATTTATTCTCAAAACAGACGGTTTATTTTATGACACTGGTAAAGACTTAGTAAGGTTAACGGATCAAAGAAACCCAAACAAATTTTTGACTCTGAGGTCAATAGAGAAAAATGTTAGAAAGATTGGTTTAAACGGTAGAGATTTTATTAGAAACAAATTAGGTTTTACGCATTATGAACGTAAGACACTCAGTGACGATCAAAGTCAACAACTGCGATCGATACAACCCGAGAGTATCCCCATGACAGAACTACCCAGCGTCACCGATGAGGTAATCGAGATTATAGACGATTTAGAACAAGACACCGGTGCTCAAACGGAAGGATTGAATTACAGAGAACTCCAGGGTTTAGACAAAAGTCTTCAGACGTTGAGAGGTAACCTAGAACTTAATTTAGCGCGTCTCACAGAACTAGACCAACAGATTGCAGCCACGAGACAAGAACTCGACGAATCGCACAGCGAAGAGGGTCGACGAGAATTAAACGATAAATTGAGCGACTTGAACGTTGAAAGATCCGCCAGATCAGAAGCCGCAAAAGCCAACGAACGAGGGCTCAAAAGTCAGATCGCTAGAATCAAAGAAACGATTAATAAAATATTAGGCGGTGACACGACTCTGGCGGAAAAGATTAGAACTCTGTTTAGAGAACAAGGTGTGACCATAGTGAGTATTTTAGCCGCTTTTAGTTTAGCCATCAGCACGATAGTGAGTAGCATCGTCGCTAGCGTGAGAGGTGTGGGTGCCCCAACCGCGCCATCGCCAACACCTACACCAACACCACCAAAAGGCGGTATCAAAGAGTGGATTTCAAAACAACTCGCTAATTTTGCATCTGCTCTTAAAAAACTCGGAGTGAGCGCGTTGGGTGCTCTGCCGGGTATCATAGGCAGCGTACTAAGTTGGATATTTAATGCGCTGAGTAAGTCCGTATCGTGGTTGGCCGAACACGCGTGGGCTTTGTTTTTGGGTGTGGGAGCCTTGGTGTTTGCGTACCTACAAAAACGATGGTAGTTATAGTTGTAATTAAGTTTAAAAACAAAACAAAAACAAAAAAGCCTTACCAGCACAAAGTTGGTAAGGCTTTTTTAGTGTGTGAGATTAGAGTGTGACTTATCGCGTTGCCTCTTAAGCCAAAATACCCATACCAACGATAGCTAACATTCCTACCGTCAACGATAATTTTTCGTCTTGGTGAATTTGTAGTTTCATGGGTTCATGGGTTAAAACTGTAGGTGTTGGAGTTGGTGTTGGTGCTGGTGTTGGTGTTGGTGTAGGTGCTGGTGTTGGTGCTGGTGTTGGTGATACAATATCGTTCGTCATAGGTTCTGGGGGTGTTGGTGGCGCGACGTCATCGGTGTCATCAAAAGAGTCGTCCGGTTGAGGTTGTGAGTTTAAATCTAACACCAAACCAGTTTTCATACTCTGGGTAGCGATTTGAAGATTGTTGTTATATCCGTCGTGCGTTCCAACCCTCAAGTTCATATCCGATGGAATTAAATACAAACCCGGTTTCACGACAAAATTTAAAGGCGTTCTGGCATACTGCAAAGAGTCTTGAAATTGATTGATACTCGTTTCCATGTCGTCTACTGCATTGATGATATCTTCAACGATGACGTTAAATTGTCTCTGAGCGTCTAATCCGGTGCCCGGATTTAGATTTTATTTCTCCGAGTCATTTAGTGGCGTTACCAGCCGAAGTCGCCGGTTCGGTCACCATACCACCGGGGTGGTATGACGTCGATTGGTTCGATTTCATTTTAAATTCTATATCCGGGGTAAGTTTTCGAATATTTAGAGAATCTAAAAAGGTGACGTTGGTGGTAACCGACGTGAAACTCAAATTGTGTTTAAACAGAGAAGTTTCTCGATTACTCAATTTACCCAAAGGAAGACTGGTACCCAAAGTGGTGTATACGGGGTCTTACAATATTAATCCGTTTAAATTTTTGTTTATTCGCTGCCCGCAATTAAGCACGAGTGAAAATTTCCTCGATGGTCGTCCTTCTGATATCTTAAAAATCGTACCCATGGGTACGCGCGAACCCGAGCCTGATAAGAGTCGAGGATTTCAAAAAACTTAAAAACGGTATAATCGACAAACTGACATTTTCAATCATAGGTGAAAAAGGACAGATCATCAACAACAAGGGTGTGAGTATAATGATAGAGTTGGAGATCTTTTAAGCTTCAAAAAATTAAAAACGGTACAGACTTTGAAAAAGAAGTTAAAAACTGGTAGACGAACGGATGGCAAAGGAAAAAAAATCTCATATCGAAAAACTTACAAGTTCAAATTCTCGGTAAATAAACATTATGAAAGCGATCCACCGAGTTACACCTCTATATCACCTCTTAGGCCGTCACCCTCAGCCCCGCCTTTATTGTAGTGGTCATCGTATCTTTTTAGTGCTTTATTAAATTGATTTTGAGTCACTTTAAATAAATCTCTAACTCGTTCTTTGTCTAATCCAACGACGTGATAATAACACGATGCTATTAACGATCATTTAACGCATCCGTTTCCCCTCAATGTTTTGTAATTAACGAGCTTGTTATATTTATTGATTGTTTCTTGGACATCTTCTGAGTCTTGCTCTGGACACACAGAAAAAATAAGTTTCTCCACAGTTTTATTTTTATTTCTCTTTAAAACGGACCAATTGATATGATCTTCTCGCGCATTTTCTGCCGAAAAATCAAAGTAACGTGAGACTATTTCACCGCACGTTTCACAAACTAAAAATCATTCTCGATGATTATATGGTGATCGCACTTATCCTTAAGTTGCGGCGTCTCAAAGTATTCCATCTATTTAATAAACTTTAAATAAAAATGATTGCATTTTTAAATAAAAAATTAAATATCGCCCTCTGTTTTTTATTGAACAGCACCTATATCTTTTTATAATTGATATCAGATCCCTTAGCGCCCATAAATAGCGCCCTCTGTTTTTTTTTATCGAACGGCACTTATCTTTACATAATTGATATCAGATCCCTTAGCGCCCATAAATAGCGCCCTCTGTTTCTATCGGTAAATTAACCCCTTATCATAAAAATTAAATACCGCCCTCTGTTTATAATTGATATCCCTCACCACCCATGAATGGCGCCCTCTATTGATTTTTTTATTATAATTGCACTTGGACTCGATAAACCGATCATTTATACGTTCTCACTCCGAGTGGCTTTTTGTTGTTATTCAAATTAGCTCATTTTAATAGCTTTTCTTACATCTTAATATATACAGTAAAAAGCCACTCGGAGTGGCTTTTTCGTTGTTATTCAAATTAGCTCATTTAAATAGCTTTTATTACATCTTAATATATACAGTAAAAAGCCACTCCGAGTGGCTTTTTTGTTGTTATTCAAATTAGCTCATTTTAATGGCTTTTATTACATCTTAAAATATACAGTAAAAAGCCACTCGGAGTGGCTTTTTCGTTGTTATTCAAGTTAGCTCATTTAAATAGCTTTTATTACATCTTAATATATACACAGTAAAAAGCCACTCAGAGTGGCTTTTTCGTTGTTATTCAAATTAACTCATTTAAATAGCTTTTATTACATCTTAATATATGTGACCCGCTCTGCAAAAATGAGTCACATGTCTCCAAAGCCACTTTTGAGCTAAAGGTCTTTGAAAGAATGTTGCACAGTGTTTAAGCAATTGGAATCCTCAACATTTTAAATTCTACACAATGTCCATTTTCATCAAACCAAACTGTTGAGGATTCCAATTGCTTAAACACTGTGCAACATTCTTTCAAAGACCTTTAGCTCAAAAGTGGCTTTGGAGACATGTGACTCATTTTTGCAGAGCGGGTAACATATACAGTAAAAAGCCACTCAGAGTGGCTTTTTCGTTGTTATTCAAATTAACTCATTTAAATAGCTTTTTTTACATCTTAATTTATACAGTAAAAAGCCACTCGGAGTGGCTTTTTGTTGTTATTCAAATTAGCTCATTTAAATAGCTTTTCTTACATCTTAATTTATACAGTAAAAAGCCACTCCGAGTGGCTTTTTTGTTGTTATTCAAATTAGCTCATTTAAATAGCTTTTCTTACATCTTAATATATACAGTAAAAGCCACTCCAAGTGGCTTTTTCGTTGTCGTTCAAATTAGCTCATTTAAATAGCTTTTCTTACATCTTAATATATACAGTAAAAAGCCACTCCGAGCGGCTTTTTCGTTGTCATTCAAATTAGCTCATTTAAATAGCTTTTCTTACATCTTAATTTATACAAGTGGCTTTTTCGTTGTTATTCAAATTAACTCATTTAAATAGCTGTTTGGTTTGTCATATATCAAAAGGTTTTTACTCAAGGTCCACACTGGCCACAGTTGCAAAGCACAGCATGTGTCCATTTTGATCCTACTTCTAAATTACTTGTAAAATAGTTTACAATATGCATTTCATTTTTTCTGAAGAACGTTAAGGGTAGGCAACAGTGAAGTAATTGCGGGTAGTTCTTTTTATCTTACAATTGTTTTTCAACCAAGTGTTGAAGTTTGCTGAATTTACCTTCCCCTTTTTCTTATCCCTTTGGAATGTTTTAAAAGAAACTTCTAGCCAATTTCCGAAGTTTGCCGCATTGTATAAAGCACAGTTTTCCCCTCGTTTATATACTTCATTACAGTGTTTTACGCAATTTTCTAAATAGCTTGAACTATACCGTTCATGGTCTACCACGCAGGGGATAACACTATCATTCACTCGATGGTCTATACCATTATATTTAGCTACAATTTCGTTATAAATATCTAGGGGATCGACAGGGTTTTTTACCCTTTCAGGCTGTTGATCCTCTTCTTCCATTTCATTGCTTGTTAAAATTGGTAGAGGTGGTGGCTGATTAAAGTCTGGCGTTACAGACAAAACTTCTAATGCCATGTCGTGGCGGTGTTCCTCCAAGTGGTTTTTCGCAATCTCCCATTGCTGCATCATGCTGCCAATCTTTTCTCCAATCCACTTTCTAGTCTCGTTGACCATACTATTTGCCAAGATTAATGCTTCTTGGCTGTTCGTCATGTCAACTGTCTGCGTTGGGTAAGCCATCGTCTAAAAAAAAAAAAAAACAAACAAAAAAACAAATTAAGCATTTATACTCAACTCTGAAGCGCCCCCTTTAAGTTTTAGACTACACCTTTAACGCACCTTATAAAAGTGTTAGTTCAAAGGAAGGTCAACCATTGTGCTGGCCGGACTGCACAGAGCTTGCGATACAGCCAGACGCAGTTGGACTCCCATTGTGCATGAATGGTCGACTGCAAACCCTACATGTACATGTAGGGTTTTTGTCACACGCAATATAATAGTGTATTATCTGCACACATACAAAGCTAAAATCCACTCTTAATTGACACTGTGATCAATCCAAGCTACTTTTGTAGACTTTTGTGTGTTTATTGACCAAACTTTCTGTGCGTTACTGATCGTTCCGGCTGGATCGTGATCACCTGCATTCACGGTGTGATCAGTTGCCCAATATTCATGGACTCAGCCCAGTTTTGGCTGTTTTGTATATAGACATTCTGGTGAGTCATTTAACTTTACTACAACATGTAATATAGATGTCTTACTAAAGCATTACCTTTGAAAGCAAAAGATGGATCTCCCGGATCTTCCTGTTCGAACTGCTGGTTGTAAGGCTACAGACGTACTTTGCAGAAACCAATCTTTTTAAAGTGTTAAATAGAGTTCCGTCAAACAGTATATAGGCCTAACCAACAAAATGCAGTATCAGAGACAGCTTTGATGCGATGTGCAACTCACCGTTGTGACGAAACACCAAGCCTTTTATGCCAAATTTTCCCCCCTTTACTTCAATAGCAAACAGAAATAGATTTCTATATTTGGCAGTGATTGACTGATTACGTGTTATTTTGTAATACCCAGTTTTAGATTATTACAAGTAATACCCAGTTTTAGAACTGAGTCATCCTGATTATAAGTGGAATTTCTTTTCATTTTTTGTATGATATGCTAATTGGCTCGTTGCAGCGCTTACGTCAGGTTGTACAATCAAGAATGTTTACCTAATCTCCTAAAATTGTTGTCATTTTCCTTTTTGTCCAATGAATCGTTGCAGTTCACATGAGGTAAAAAAATAGAAAAGAAATGTACTTTCTGACGGAAGAATAGAGGAAGAAAATGCACCTACTATGCGTAATAGACACAATAGAATTTGACGTAGGCCTATAAACAGCCCAACCTTGAATGTGTTGACTGAGGCTCTATAGAATTTGTCATAACAGCGCGACCTTCATTGTTATGACAGCCCGACTTTAAAACACGAGGGGAAACTGACGTCACTTAAGAGTGAAGGCAAATGTAGACTCGCGCACCAGTCGCTGTGAGTCTGTGTTGAGATCTCCAAGAGGGCGACTGTAAATATGAAGGGCCTGGCCTTATTTCGAGATTGAGATATTGGGAGGGGGAGAGATATATTGGGAGAGGGATCTATTTGGGGGAGGGGGATTATTGGGAGGGGGCGGGGCCGGGGCGGGGGGCGGGGATCATTGGGGGCGGGGTAAAGTCTGGTACCCTCCCTTTCCTTCTACTAACCCAACATAACGAAGGAAGGGTTTTGGAAATTGAGAAAAATAGACTTCCTTAGATGAACAACCACAGTTAAATCCACATCTTGGCATTATGTCAAATGGTTATTAAAAAAATCTTTGCCACGGCTGATTTTCTTTACCTGACATACTGTAGGAGTTCTTGCGGCACAGCTTGTCGATTCATCGAAAGGTGATCCTGCAGAACGCTGATGACCACCTTGGTTTTCCAGTGTGTGACTGGCACTTCGCTTGACGTATTTTCCTGGAAATTGTTATTATATAGGTATTATCAAAAATTCAAATTGAGGCGACCCAAAGGCCAATTAAACATTAAAATTGAGATTGTTGGGTAGCATGGGTTGCGCAGTGTGTAAAGCGCTCGCCTCTCACCAACCACTGTTGCCGGGGTTCGATTCCTGGCTCGGTTTATATGTGAGCACAGATGTTCGTTGATTCTTTCCTGTGCAAAATTCAACACTTTGATCTGGCTGTGCTCCATGGTAAGACATGGGTCATACTGCGGTTGCCTAATGTGCCTCAGCTTTACATGCCTTACACTAGACCACGCTGAAGCTGCGTCCTTCGCAATTCAGCTTCTGCCGCGCGAAAGAACAATATTAGCAAAGGACTCATCTGCAAAGAACCAGGACATTTTAAGAAAAAAAATGTAAGACTCACATTGCTGCTTTCGCTGAGGAGATTGAATTCCTCCAATCTGGGCGGGGCATACTTGGTGAGGGGGGCGGACTGGTAAGTGGCGAGGCTACTGCGAAAGGGCGACTCCCCTCGTGGATGCACAAAAACGTGCACAAATAATGTTCCATTGTTCCGGGTTTTCCGTGGTATTGTTACATTGACTGATCTGAAAAACAAATGAAAAATGTAAAAAAGAATGATCAGTCAGCAAATCGTTCGCCCTCCCCTCCCCCCCCCCCCCCCCCTCTCCCCTCACAGATGCAAATTGGTCTAGCGGCGTCCCTGCTATAGCAACTAACCTCTTCCTTACCTGTCAAACTCTCCATCGATGGTGAAGTTGTCGTACTGTGCAGCAAGACTCATGTCTTTCTCATTCAGTTCCCTTTTCAACTTCACGGAGGTGTAAAGACTCAACTGCGACGAGAAAACAAAAGATATTCCACAGAGATTAGTTTTTTGTTTTGATCCCGTGTGCAGTTTTTGCAAGCAGTGGGTTACGGCAAAGTCAACTTTTGAAATTTTGAACACCGCCTTATTACCAAAAGCAAAAATGTCTTTTCAATTGTATAGGCTCTGTGCACAATTACCCCCTCAACAATTAAAAAGGGAGAGTGGGGGGAGACTGGGAGGCCGATTGAAATGCACTGCCGACGAGCCCTGACGCTTACACAAAGACCCCATGGTTTTGTGCACATTCACGCCACATGCCCACTTTTACCTGCAACTTTGGGTTCCGACTGATGTATGGCGTAATGCATGGTGACGAACCCTTGGCGCTCGCCGGCACGCACTGCTCCGGGTTGAAGAGTTGAAACATCACCAGGGAGACGTGAATGAGGTAAGCCACAAACAGACCAATCACTGCATAGTTGATGATGGATCCCACAGACGGCATAGTGGATGGTAGCGTCTGCTAGACAGTTTCTGTATAAGAGGATTAAATTATAAGATTACTCACAATGTAACAGAGTCTTAGCAGCAATTTTTGTTTAGCATCATTCTAACTCAGACTGGGACCTTGAGTGCAGGAAAAAATGCAAAACAAAATCAGGCCAACCTTACCAACTCTTTAACAGACAAAATTCTCAAAACTTTTCATGAGGCTTATCCAAATTTGAGGTCTCAATTAAGCATTTTAAGGAGAATCTTCTTCCACATTTTGCCATAAAATCTAGCCTTTTTTTATAGGCATGTTCAAAATAATAAGACTGCATTTTCATTAGGGGTCCTACAGTATAGTATACTGCCGATGTCATACATGTATTCTAGGGGCACTCATCCAGATGAGAGGACAACCTACAACATTACACTTAACCCTCCTAGATTCCTTTTCAAAATTTACCAGGAGTTTAAATGGAGGATTTAGACTCACGCCAAGAAGTAAGATACCATATGTTGAATATCCGCAGCCTTAATTTTGTAGGGGACATGCCAGCCAGGTTTTTGATTTATGACGGAAATTATGGGGTAAAACTAGCATGAGTAACTCCAGCTGACATGCTCATGATGAGCATGTCCGCTGGAGTTACTCAAGCTAGGTTAAAAAAGATCCACCATGCTGAGCATCAGGCCGAAATATTTCCATGAAAAAAAATCCATCATTTTACCAACTTTTTGTGCTCACATTTGTATTGACCTATACAGTTTTCAATAGCGCGGAGTATGCAGTGCGGAGCGGGCCAGTGCATGCGATATGCAGTGTGCAGGGCTAGGTCTCCATGGTCTACACCAAAGATCCTAGTGCCGTAGCGCCACTACGCAGCGCTATAGGATCTTTGATATACACCAAAGATCCTACGGCGCTATATTAGATCTTTGGTCTTTCCATCCACACAGTGCATGTGTTGTGGGCTTTCTTGTCATTTGCGCAATCATAAGAATGTGCATGCACATTCTTATGATTGCGCAACTGGATCCGAAAAAAAAAATTCCAGATTAAGCGCACATTCTTAAGAATGCGCAACAAGAGAAGCGATCTTTTCGATGCCGAGAACCAGCTGCGCTTGGCAAGTCTTAGCTGCATCCTCGTTCATTGATTAATTTTTGGGCCATACTTAAATAATTATATTGTGGAAAATAATTATTCACTGGGGAAAAGACATAACAATATTAAAGGTTCGCTCGTACCCCCTGCCCTTTGCAGGGCAGGGGGTACGAGCGAATGTTAAAGGTAGAGATGAAAGTATTATGCATATTGGGGGAAATAATAAGAGACATAATAGTTTGGTGAAAAGAATTCTAAACAAAAACGTATAACGTGTTCCTCATTCACTTAACTAAACAAAGCACTTCCCAGACTAATTCCCAGTCCTCCGTTATTACAAAACTGCCCATCGGGGGACAGAAAAAAGCAATAATAAACAGCTTTAATTGAATTCAAATTATCGTAGTTCAACGGGTACAAAAGCATAGATCATTTTCTTTTCTCGTCATATGATTATTTCCCCTTTAACCTTAAATACGTAATAATGCCGTACTAGTATTTGTTAAGATTGCGCAAAATTCATAAATTGCGCAAGTAATATTCCCACGCAATCTTAAGAATGAGCACTCATTCTTCAGATTGCGTGCTCATTCTTAAGAATACGCACCCGTTTTTAAGAATGCACGCTCATTCTTAAGATTGCGCAGCTTGCAAGAAAGCGCACAACACATGCATGCAGTGAGAAGTGCCACTTAACTTGCCCCGCCGCGGCGGCCGGCCCCGCATGTCCCGCGGCGCAGCCGGCCCGGCCCGCCCCGCTAAGCCAGATTGTATCTGGTTTTGACACTCAAGTCCTCTTTTTTAGAAAAGCGACATTAAGGTGACGGTTTGCTTGACTTTAACAGTGACTATATGGGTCTCTTCTAGTCTTATGTCTTTACCTCAAACCAGAACTGCAGAAGTTGTACTTGTATTTTTGTGAAAATTACCGTATATGAGATTCCACCTGGCTCGCTCAAGGTAGCCACGGATTCGGCCGGATTTCTGGCCGCGTATTCAACCGCGTATTATTCTAGCCGCGCATTCGCCAAATGAAAAAAAATATATAATACATGCGGCAAAAGGAGATCTATTTCCAGAAAGATAACTGTCTTATCTATCTGGAAAATAGATCACCTTTTGCAGCATGTATTATAGATTTTTTGAATTTTGGCGAATGCGCGGCTGAATACGCGGTTGAATACGCAGCTAGAAATCCGGCCAAATATGCGGCTACCTTGAGCCGGGTTGATCAGTCCGAAGTCTTGAGTAGTCCTGCAGTACAGTAGATTACTGATGTGATATGCTCGATGAGTGCGTGCGTGCGTGCGTAGTTTGCGAGTGTTTTTGATCTGTTTAGCCTATATGCCTGATAATGATATTCAATAGGTTTTAGTTCGCGTTTTTCCCACTTCTGACCTGAGAAGTCGTGTAAGTGACAAATGTGTTTTCAATTGGCTTTTGTGATTAACCACAGTGGTTTCCTACCTCCATGGTTTATGCATGGAGAAATTTCTCCATGGTTTATGCATTATGTGCATGGAGCTATGCCTATTGATTTTTTTAGTCTGTAGGGCCTGCTATGGCCGGCTATAGGATCTTTGGTTCAGATGTTACGAAAGCCCATTAGCGCCACTGCAAGTATATATGTTGCGGATTATTTAATTTGTTATTACGGATTATTAATTCGTTATTACGGATTATTTTACGGATTAATTATTAATTCGTTATTACGGACTATTTAATTCGTTATTACGGATTACTTATTCGTTATAACGGATTATTTAATTCGTTATTACGGATTATTAATTCGTTATTACGGATTATTAATTCGTTATTTACGGATTATTAATACGTTATTACGGATTATTAATTCGTTAATGGTAATTCGTTGTAACGGATTATTTAATTCGTTATTACGGATTACTAATTCGTTATTACGGATTATTAATTCGTTATTATGGATTACGAATTCGTTATAACGGATTATTAATTCGTTATTACGGATTATTTAATTCGTTATTACGGATTACTAATTCGTTATAACGGATTATTTAATTCATTATTACGGATTATTTATTCGTTATTAACAATTTTTCATAAATACCTCAGACAGTTTAGCTATTCCTATTGGTCGAGAGCCCGTCACGTGGCCGGTATTAAACGGATGATAAAGACATGGCTAGCTGGTCTTAAACACTTTTCCAGTGTCACAATAAAATGTGGACTCCTAAAAATCCAGTGCCTCTTACCGTTTCATTGGTTGAACGTTCACAATCCTCACGTAGGCATGCGCAACACTACAAGCGAGTCAGAATTTTATAGTTCTAAATTCAAAACGCAACGCCCCAGGTGCGTTCTGCGTAACATCGCGCAGAACATGTTACGCGCGCGTCAATCTCAATAAAAGGGTTGTTTACATCTTACTTGCCAGCTGAACACTCCATTATTTTGCTAGAGGGATGTTTCAAAAAGCATGAAGTGAACTTGTTGAACAAAATCGGGATTTTTTGAACAAATTATTTGAATTTTTTTTACGGAAAAGGTATTTATGAATGGGAATAAATGTGTGCTCGGTCGGTATTTATCACTCTGTTTAATACCGCTTAGAGTCTGGGTGCTGATAATTACCCTCGCCTCCGGCTCGGGTAATTATCAGCACCCAGACTCGAAGCGGTATTAAACGAGTGATAAAAACCTCCGGAGCACACATTTATTCCCTTATTTAATTCGTTATTACGGATTATTAATTCGTTATTACGGATTATTAATTCGTTTTAACGGATTATTTAATTCGTTATTACGGATTATTAGTTCGTTATTAACGATTATTTAATTCGTTATTACGGATTATTAATTCGTTATTACGGATTACTCATACGTTCTGAGTCATTACTCGGCAACTTAGTATGGCACAGGAGTGGTGCTGGTGTAAAGCAAACGTATGTATGATTATTAATTCGTTATTACAGATTATTAATTCGTTGTAACGGATTATTTAATTCGTTATTACGGATTACTAATTCGTTATTACAGATTATTAATTCGTTATTATGGATTACGAATTCGTTATAACGGATTATTTATTCGTTATTTACGGATTATTAATACATTATTACGGATTATTAATTCGTTATTACAGATTATTAATTCGTTGTAACGGATTATTTAATTCGTTATTACGGATTACTAATTCGTTATTACGGATTATTAATTCGTTATTATGGATTACGAATTCGTTATAACGGATTATTAATTCGTTATTACGGATTATTTAATTCGTTATTACGGATTACTAATTCGTTATAACGGATTATTTAATTCATTATTACGGATTATTTATTCGTTATTAACAATTATTTAATTCGTTATTACGGATTATTAATTCGTTATTACGGATTATTAATTCGTTATAACGGATTATTTAATTCGTTATTACGGATTTTAAGTTCGTTATTAACGATTATTTAATTCGTTATTACGGATTATTAATTCGTTATTACGGATTACTCGGATTACGTTCTGAGTCATTACTCGGCAACTTAGTATGGCACAGGAGTGGTGCTGGTGTAAAGCAAACGTATGCAAAGATAGCGCCGCCTAGCGGCGCTATATACATAGGCCCCTGGTCACGTGCTCTCCACGTGTGAGAACATCAGACTTAATTCGTAATAACGAATGAAATAATCCGTAATAACGAATTAATAATCCGTAATAACGAATTAAATAATCCATAATAACGAATTAATAATCCGTATTAACGAATTACATAATCTGTAACATATATACTTGCAGTGGCGCTAATGGGCTTTCGTACTATGTACTCTGTAGAGTACATATAGTGTCAGTGGATAAGCCTATGGCCGGCGCCGGTTTTGTAAACGTTATTTTTACTGAGGCCTTTTCAGATTGGTTCATAGGGCTCTTAGCTTATTTAGCTTGAGTAACCCCAGCGTCGATGCTTATCGCATAGGCCTAAGCATTGGAGCTGGAGTTACTCAAGCTACATCTTATTCAAGTTAATAGTACTCACATAGTCCTATGCCTGTGATCGGAAAAACACATGATATTAAAAGAGAGCCCACTAGATGAGTAGCGTGAAATAAAGTCCAGGTTCCCCCCCCCCCCTCCAATCACCACCACCACTTTTAAAATTTGCACCAACCTGCTTTGGGAAAATTTGTGTGGATATTCCCTTGGTGCCCCCAATAAAAATGCTGCCCCCCCCCCCCCCTGGAAAAAAAATTCTTGCTACGCCACTGAACCAATGATGTAATTAGATCATCAGGGAAAGCATTAGCAAAATTAACCTTTAACTAAAAGGAAATCGGGGCTGGCTAAATATCCGCTGCCTTTTTTTTTTTTTTTTCCCATCAGGTTTGACAGTAGAGATGCGAGAGTGATCCAATGAGAATTGAGATGGGGGATGCAGGACAAAGCGGTTTTCATTGGACATTACCTGAAGCTACAAATCGGCAAGTCACACAGATTGGGGCCTCGGCGTGTGGTGCAACAGCAGTTATAAACACACTGGTACAAATAAATATGTTTCATCCTGGGGAGAAGATGAATTAATGCCCAGACCCCTACTTGTTGGACATTTCCCGCCTATTCCCCCCCCCCCCCCCCTCCCTCATCCAACCCCTCTTTGAAAGAGTGCAGGGGAAAAAAATGAAAAAAAACATAAATTTGATGAATATTTCAAATTTTGTCCAAAAAATTTAAAAGTGTTACCCACCTACACTCTTTCAATGGGTACATTTTACCCCAACCTCGTCCCCAGTGCTTACTTAATTTCCAACCCCGTTTCCAATAGTAAGCCCTGGATAGGAAACTTTCTTTCTGTATCCTGATTCGATACCGCAATTGGCTAGAAATTGATTTATATCGTGTACTTGGTGTTGTTATTCATGCAGTACGTGTTTTCACGATCATTCGTCCATGCCTTCTTTAAAATATTCATTTCCTTTCCAAATTGTTCATATTAATATGAAATGTGATACTGAATATTGTCTCATTAAGATCGTAACAGTTTAATTAAAATAAAATCGTGTTCAAAAATCTTGCACATGCAAATGATCCAATACCAGGGTGAGAGAGTAGGTAGTGGTGGGCGCGTACTGCTTGATACCCTGGGGACGAGGTTGATTTTACCCTTCACTTAACACTTGCAAAACACAGTACAAAATTAGGTCAAATGTCATCACCACATTTGCATTTAAGTTCAAACTGTATTTGAAAAAACTACTGATAATAAGTCACAACAAAATACCTGCCAACTGCAGTGTCTTTTGAAATGCTAATACATCCCTTCCTTCTAGAAAGTGCTTAAGATCGACAAAGACCAAGAGGAGGTTGCAACAGCCGTCAACACCAGGCTGCGGGCCAACAACGTCCCCCTCACAGAGTACCTTTTCTCCAGGAGTGTTGCCGGAGTGACACACACCGACATCATCGAGGGCCTGGAGAAGGCATCCGGTGGAAAGATCTTCGCCAGATTCTTTCACCTCTACCCTAAGAGGGTAGTGGATTTACCCAGCTGGCTGGCCGGCTGGATTAATCTGGGTAATTGATGATTCGTCAAATGGTAGTTAGCCTAGTGACCTCGTTGTACCAATCTGACTGACTGACCCCCCCCCCCCCCCCCCCCCAACTGACTGACTCCCCGACTAACTGTCACTTTTGACCTAGACTGTTTGCAGACTGGTGAAGATAGCCTAGTTGTGCTATTGTATAGGATTGCCCCGTATCGCCAATGAATCGGTGAAATCTGATCCATTGTGTAGACCGGATGCATGAAAAGACTCCTAGTGAATAGCCATTCATCAGTTCAATAGAATTTTGTGCACTTTGGATCAGCCTAAAGGGCCAATTCATGCTCGGCAAAAGTTGAACACATTCCAGCGACTTTTCCCAGATGTCAACTTCGCTTCGCAGTCAAATGAAGAATGAACTGGCCTGCACTAATTGTCTTGTTTTTATTAAGAAAGAAAAATCACTTTCTAAAATCACTGTATCAGCAATCAGTATAGATGTCACATAAATATTGAACACCACACAAAATTATCAATATACAAACCAAAAAAAATCCCTGGAAATCAATAAGCCATTTGCGATTGGCCTATACCCTTTGGGATTTACATTTGAAAAACATCTGGTACACTGACTTGCTCAGAATGCTTGGCACATTTTAACTTAGAATTCTCCAGACCAAAGACACGGTTGCTAATCACATGATTCGGGGCAAGCTCTTGCATAGTTACGTAAGAGACGCTCAGCACCAATACATTGTTCCCAATGGGTGAGAATGGCACAAAGTCACCAGACCATGCCGGAGCTTGGGGTTGCTAGCATAAGGTTTGCCCCGAATAACGTGATATAGTAACAGTCTCTTTGGTGGAGAGAATGCAAAGTTAAAATGTGCAAAGCATTGGATAAAGTCAGCGTTCCAAATTTTATTCATATTTATCTAGCAAATATTTGGCCAGTTCATATACTCAGCCAAAATTCGCGCAGCAAACTTGCAAAAGTTGAACACATTGCAGTGAATTTTCGCTTCGCATGAAGTATGAGCCGGCCTATACTGTACTAAGGTTGTCTTGTCTTGTTTTTATTAATTAGATAGAAAAGTTACTTTCTCAAAGTCACTGTATCAGCACTCAGTAAAGGTACACAAATATCCGAACCCACCCATAATTATCAATACAAACAAAAAAATCATCATGCCAATTTTTGTCTTGGTTCGTAGGAGTTGTTCCGATAGCAACACTCAATCTCCAGCATGTACCGAGTGGCGAGACCAACATTCCAGATGCTTGGCATCACCAGATGGTGTATGGCGTGACTAGCGAAGGCGTGCACATGTGCAACCCACTTACCGTGGAGACCATTCCCAACTTCATCAATTACGTAACCAGCGACTCGGTGCTGTTGGTAAATTTCCATTTGTTTTAGGCCTGGTTCCGGCTAATGGACACCGTGCACAAAAAGTAGACGGCACTTTCTGACCACTTTCGAGAACCCAGTGGATGGGAGACACTGCATGCTATATAAGCGCATTCACGCCGTTGATCGTGGACGTCCTATTGTCCCTCTTTTGTTTGTACGTATGCTGGGAATCGTGGACAATAGTGTTCCCTTTCGTTCTCTGGAATTTTTCGTCTACGGTTTGAATAGATGAACACGCCCGTAATGGTTCACATGTGTATAGCACAAACTATAAATATCCTGAATGTGCACAAAACCGTAGCGTTTTTGTATGAGTGACAGCTGCATCATCGGCAGTCCGTTTGATTGTCCCTCCCATGTGGTCTCCCCCAACTCTCTCTTTGTAACCGTTGAGGGTGTACTTGTGCAAGGAGTCCTCATACCAGTCAGGGAGGCCACTCACGGAGGCCTCCAACAGTGGCGGAACATTGGGCCAGCTATTGTTCAGATAATTTGTTCAGGGGTACGCAATAGCTAGCACAATGCTTTCGCCGTTGGGAGTGGGCGTATGTGAGTGTAAATGTACAGTGATACCATTTTGGTCATGGTCTACAGCAAAACTATTACTAAAGACTTTGTGTATAACTGTAACAGAAACGTTCGCGTGCAAATAATGTATTTGTGATGTTATTTCAAAGATTTGAATTCATTCAGTGTAAGAAACTATTGGGATCAATTTCATTTGAAAGTTTGACTGTTGCAGTCTCTCCAACAACTCCAGAGTCCAGTCAAGTAATTTGAAGTTATAATGTTTGCATATTTGATAAGAAATACCATTTGGATCAACTTGAATGAATCAGGTTCCACATGACTCTAGAAGGCCTGTCTGAAACGGGTGTCTGACTATACCGAGAATTTGTGTGACATTTGGCCATTTCACATTGGTTTGGTTATTCACGAAACCATATATTGGTGGGTAGGGTTAGCACTTGGGATTTGTACTTAATGTATCATATCCAGTTTCTCAAAAGTTGTACGACTATGAAGACACAAATTCACATTCCTCACAACACTAAATTTGTCTCTCTGAGAAAAGCAAGAATATTGGTTAATTGTTTAAGTGGAAGTCCTGTTGTCACCTTAAAGTCATCCACAAACATCTTTCGTGTCCAAAATCATTTCATTTTAACAGATTCGCAGAGTAGATGTTATCAGTCGATGGCAAGAAGGCATGGATTTGTCTGTTCTTTCCCAAAATGATGATTCTGGATGGCGGGAAATGGACGTCGAAGGTTAGTGTAGAAATCTTGTGACTTGCTAAACATGCCTCACCATTAGTGCTTAAAGTGACTAGAATGAAAAAAATGTCTTGAGTAGTTTAGTTTATGTTGTACATTTTGCCTGAAGTGATTCTTATAATCAATAAACAGTTTACGATTTTGTATGGTTTCCTTGCACAAGTCCCCACTCAACGGTCACAAAGGGAAGAGTTTGGGGCGACCACTGGGAGGGACATTCAAACACATTGCTGACGACGCAATGGTTATTGTTACACTCAATGCAAATGTTGCTATTGTTGCTAATTAAATTATTTCATTTCCTCTAACTCAGGCCAAGTCAAGAAGATGCTGAGTGAGCCAGAGCCCTATAGCCAATCACCAGAGAGTCGACCAGCTGGGCTGCTTGCTGATTGGCTGTTCAAGAGTCACATTTGTATACCTGCCGCCTACCAGTCAGGCGTAACCTTGTGTGTGAGGAAGGATAACACTGCTGCTTACAGGCTGTTGATTGAAGAGCCAGAATTGGTCGTTGCGTAGTTGAGGGGGAGGGGCAAGTTCAGAGCGGGGGGAGGGGGTGGGGCAAGCTGAGACTTTGGGAGGGGCTAGCTGAGATTTGGGGATGGGCAGGGAACATTTCGGGGAGGAGATTCAGATATTTACAGCCAACAAATCATGAATTGCACAATATAATATCAAACTCATCAATCATTGTCATGAATGATTTTGTCGGCCAGCCAACATTGAAAACAAGGTGGTTGAATGGCAAGACCTCTGCACTAGAAAGTATGAGGTCCTGGGTTCAAGTTCTACCTTGTAAAATGTTCTAGTATTTTGTAAATTGTTTCTTACAAGATGTCGGACAGCAGTGAGTGCCAGTTCTCTTAAAATTCAGTCGACTTGGCATTTAAATTCAAATAATAGTAATGTTATATGTGTGTGCATCTGTGCAGGGGTTTTTTTTTTCGGGGGGGGGGGTGTTCAAAAAATTGTGGTATTTAAATTATAAAATATAAATTTCAGGATATCACAGGAACCAGTTAGATGATTAAGTCAGATGAAACACTTGTCATAATTCAAAGTGGCTCTGCTATTCGACGATGTGATGCCTGTGCAATTGTATGATCTGGTCACCTCATGAGTATGTGTGACGAGATGGCTGCTTGGACATGTTAACCAATTGCCACCTGTACTAAGTTGTTTCACATTGTATTTATTCCTTGAAGAGTCGATAAAACCATAGAGTGTGCCTGGTCGGTTTCAGGACGTTACAGTGCGTAATAGGCAGGGTGGTTCGGGCATGTCAGTGACAAAAGGGTTTATAATATTTCTCTTAGAACGTTAGAATCTACAGTTTTGAATGCATGCACTGATGCTGAATCAGAGGGTCTAGTTATTCAAATTTCCCAAATTTTTCAAGCCAGCACAATTATGCCCCATCATAAATCTTGCCAACACCGTGGTGTTCAAATGAGGATTGTCTTTCATGTTTATTTTCATCTGGTTATTTGTACCCACATGCATGGAATTTTATATATTAATGCTTCGATATAATACTGTTTGTGTAATTCTTACACAAACTGCAGCAAAGTATTTAATTGGAGTATACAGTTGAAAGTAAAGTAAAGTAAAGCAAAGCATATGCAGGTTTAGGAGTTGAATACAGTCGACTTTCATAAGTATAAACTATGTTGATACATGTACACATTCTGGTTATAGTGAACATACAGCCTTGGCCAAACTGTGCATTTATGTGCAGAATGAATGGGACTGATGGTCCTCGTTCATACAAATTTCGGACATCAACATTTTTGTCAGGTCTGGTTGAGTTTATATTAACTGGAGTCGACTGTAGTGAAATAAGAGATATTGTACCGCTCAGTTTTTGTTCATTGGAAATGCTTTGAACTTTGTCAGTGTTTGAAGTTCCCCCTTCATTTTGGATACCCCTGTAGTTCTTGTGTAAATAAAATTGAAAAAGTGTGTACAGATTAATATATTGGTTTTTTTTTTCTTCAAAGATTATATTTTGCTCTTGTATTCAATGCTGTACTTTTTTTAAGGTAAACAATAAACATCAAATATTGTACCAACAATTGTTGATGTTTGTTTTTTTTTGTTCGGTTGGTTGGTTTATATTACATAAGTTTGACAACTAAAATGTTGTTGTTTTTGTAGTGCAGCAAATACCCAGGAAACCATGCATAAATGGGGGTGCACCCAGGTTTTTCGAGGGAGGGGGTTTGCCATATTTTTCTACATGATTTTCCTTCTTTATTCGGCCGGGGGGGGGGGGGGGGTGTTGTGTTTAAACCCCTACCCCTGTAACCATATAGATCTGCCACTTCTAAAAGACATTTGCTATATGCATATGCCTTTCTTTCTGACCTGCTCAGCCTCTTACATTACACCATACTGAAAGTGTGGCATGGGTGGCTTTAGCCCCATAAATGTGGCCTATTTACTGGACTGCCTCCGTAAACATAGGCCACACATCCACATGTACAAAAAACGTGTCGACTTTGCCAAATTTTGATTTTCACATTTAGGCTTACTTTTTACGTTTTTTTTGCTTTAGAAGCATTCTCACCCTCTATATAGGCTAATCAGAAAGTGCTGTCTTTTTCAGATATCCATTTTTCGTGAAATTTCCAGATACATTTGCACACGTTTGCGTATCAAAATTTCAACATGAAATTTCACAAAAATTAAACATCTGAAAAAGGCAGCACTTTCTGATTAGCCTATATAGAGGGTGAGAATGCTTCTAAAGCAAAAAAAATCTACAAAGTAAGCCTAAATGTGAAAATCAAAATTTGGCAAAGTCGACACGTTTTTTGTACATGTGGATGTGTGGCCTATGTTTACGGAGGCAGTCCAGTAAATAGGCCACATTTATGGGGCTAGGGTGGCTTGTGCGTAAAGCGCTCGCCTCTCACCAAGGTGATCACAAGTGAGCAGAGTTGTGCGTTGGTTCTCTCCTGTGCCACGAGGGTTTTTCTCCGAGCCCTCCGATTTTCCTCTCTCTGGAAAAATCAAACACTCTCGATCTCCGGCTGTGCTCCGTGGTCATATATGGGTCGATGTGGCTGGCCGCCATAGGCGCCTGAACGTGCCAGCGGCCCCACCACGTTGTAGCCGCGTCCTTCGCAATTCAGCATCCCAGCTGTGAGTAAGAATGATTAGCCTCCCAAATTATTGTTATTATTTATTATATTCAAGTGCTGGCGCATTGTAAAGTGTGTGCTTATTTCTTTGACGCTTTGTTAATTGAAAGTTCATACAGCATTCTCTAATTTTGGAAACAGCTTATCGTTATGACCAGAAATGAATGGAAGTGATGCATATAGGTTAGAAGAAAAACACAAAAAGTACATAATGACAATATAATTTTTACGCTTCTAAAAAAGCACTGTCTTATACATGTACTCTATTTTGGAAGGCAATGTTGTTTTGGTGGTTTTTTTTTTTTTGGGGGGGGGGAGGGGGTATTTTGCTCTTGATTTTTAATATCAGGCGCTTGAAACAGTCAAAACAAAAAAGCAGACGACGGACAGCTCAGCTGATCCTCTTTCAATGTTAATGTACTTTTATCGCGGAATGGCCGTAAAATTACTTACCAATCGTAGTTATTTGTAAATAAATATAATAAATATCGAATAATAAAAATATTTTTAACAGTAAATAATTTTGATATTGTTTTAAAAGGGTATAATTAGGAAATGATTAATTAAATTATACGAAATCGTCCGGCCTTCCCGCCATGCCTCGGTTACTTCCGGCACTGTTACTTGCCAATTTCGTCCCCATAGGGTTGAGCAGTACGCTACCACAAGCTGTTAAGTTTGCAAACGCGGTGCCTTAAAAATACGGTAGACCCTGTGAACAAGGTTAGTTGCACACGTACACACGTATTTTCAGTACAGAGTTTCTGCACAACCGAGGCCGGAAAAACACCTCAAAATGGCCATCGAATTGTTCACTGTTCTCGGCAAATTCTACGAGGAGTACATGAGTAAGACCTCGCAGAAGCTCAAGATCATCGATGCCTATCTGGCTTACATTATGCTGACCGGAATTGTGCAGTTTGTGTACTGTGTCCTCGTCGGAACCTTCCCCTTCAATTCGTTTCTGTCTGGTTTCATCTCGTGTGTCGGGTCATTCGTTTTGGGAGGTAGGAAAGCCATGTCCATCATGTCCATTGACTTGCTAATGCTACATTTAGTCACCAGGCATGTCATAGTCTTACATTATTATTATTTATTACGAGGACAACTTCTAAGATGCACAATACTTTTATTGCACTTATTTTGCACTACCCATGGACCATGATGGAGCTCACAAAATGTTGTTGTTCAACCCCCGCCGCGCCCACGGCCAAGGCAAACCCCGCCCCCCCCCCCCCCCCCACCCCTCTCCAAAAAAAAAGAGAAGAAAAATGAAGAGATTCTTTCACAACTAGTTTTTCTATCTTCATCAATTTTTCAATGAGACTTTTTGGTTGGTTTATAATTGTTTATTTTTCTTAATATTTCCAGTTCCGTTTTGTTTTTATTGAGGCCTAGGCCTGTTGGGGTGTTTGCTTGTTTGTTTGGGGTTTTTTTTAAGGGGGTTGGGGGGTGGCAAGGGCCATGACATGTTGATTGGCATTAACAAACATAAAATGCCTGTGTCAGTTACTCAGTTGTCAATAGAATGGCTCCTGGCATTTGTTTTCTTAAAAAACAAAAATTAAAATTACAAATTAAAAAAGAAAAAGATAGATCTACCTGATTGTAAATAGAATTTGAAAAAAAAACAATACATGGAAGGAAATTCATGTTCTTGGGAAAAAGAAACAAACCAAAACAAAACACAATCAATGTACATTTCTGCAGGTATGTCACACACATATGTGATCCTTTTTTTTAAATAAAGAAATGAAAAATAAATTTCCTTGATTTTGTTTCCATTTTTCTACCAGTTTGCCTTCGACTTCAAGTCAACCCAGCCAACAAAGTAGATTTTAGAAACACCTCTCCAGAACGTGCCTTCGCAGATTTCATCTTTGGTAGCATCATTCTTCATCTAGTTGTCCTGAATTTCATTGGATAATCGTCTTTGTTTAAAGGGTGAGATGTTGGTTGTCAGCATATGTCCTTGACTTAAAATGCGATAACATTAGACCTGTCAGATGCCAATTGACTCAAGAAGTTTTGCATCAATAGACTCCGTGCACAAGTACCCCCTCAATGGTTACAAGGGGAGAGTTTGGGGGAAACCGCTGGGAGGGACATTCGAACGCACTGCCGACTGTGTCCAACGCTCATGAGAAGACAGCACACACACACACAGTGTGTCACTCCCTCTGGTTTTTTTTAAAGTGTTAACAAACCACCATCTGCTATTCATTCATGGAATCATTAACCATGAAATATGTCAGGGAAACAGTCTCATTGATTGAAATTCTTATAAGGTTACTGACTAGCAAATAGACTGCCATAGACCCCAGTGATAAATACGCCCACTTCCAAAATGCAGCAAAATACACACAACTGTCCAAGATGTTTGTGAAGCAAATCAAATTAAAGCTTATTTCATTGTCTTTCATTTTCTGTTGATATTTGGGGGGGTTAACCAATGACTTTTGGGAGAAAATTCCATCAAAAGATGATACCCCCCTAAAAGTAGTCCTGAAGCCCATCACCATTTTGGAAAATGATGCCTGCGCCCCATTGCAAAATAGAGCAATTTTAGGGCCAAATTGCATCCGAATTTCACAGAGATACGAGCTTGCCGTCCTGTTCACACGTCACAGCTTCCACCATTCTGTTTTCACAAACCCTCAAGTTCATGGCCCACAAAATGCTCTATAAAGCTAAATGAAATTGAGGGCACGCAAATCGTGATTTGGCCGGCATAGGCAATTTTGGGCCTATTTACTGGCCTGCAACCTTTTAATAATAAGATACAATAAGACAATTTTTTACAATGAAACTTTTCTTTGTTTCTGTTGGCAGGAAGGAGTAAAGTAGACAACAGGGGCCAGCAGCCATCATGCAGAACTGGTGAAAGTAAAGAAAAACATAAGACAACCTACTGACAACGGGAGATTGAAAACTGTCACCTGGCCCAACGCTTTTCACTATAAAACAAATGACCTAAATGGACAATTTACAAAACTGGTTTATTTCTTCAATTCAATACCAGTACTTCAGTAGTAAAGTATATATTGTACTGTGGAAGTAAAGCAATTCTTAATAATTGCCAAAATCCAGGTATGTTTTACATAAAGAGCTGAATGAACCATACTGTGGAAATTTTACGGTGGAACATTTTTAATTTAAAGTCATCTTTGTCAATTTGACACTTGTATGCAAAGCATCATTTTTTTTTTCTGAGCTGTTTGGTTCCTATTCTATTAATGTTGAACACAGCAATATTCAGCTCATTGGCAGTTGAATTGGTGCATGTATTTCAGCAGTGATATCATTGTTTTTCCCGGAAAGAGGAAACAGTGTAGCCCATCTTGGGAGAGTTGCTTTCGATGAAAAACTCACACTTTCTTCGTAAGCTTCTTGTGTTACCCTTGAAAATAATTGTTTCATATAATTTAGTAGAAATACTCCCTGTTCGATTGTTTAAATTTAATTTCATTATACATGTACTTGTGATGATTGTATCATTTGGAATACAAGAATCATGTTTGGGCAGTTATTACAAACATAGGAAAGCACTACGTTATTAAGCACATGAGGTGCCCCTGTTTCTGTCGTGTACAGGTCCATCATTCCTAGCTGCATAAGTGTGACTCAAATACTGGACTTCTTCCATATCAATGTAAGTAAACTATGTGTGACCCGTGACCTCAAGAAAAATCCTGCAGTCATTTTGAACGATCCAAATTTCCCCTGAAAATTACAGGATAACTAGATATCTACAGGTATGCAATTCAGTTTTTCCTGGTTCTTAATAAGTTAAGTAGTTTGCTAAAAGAATATCATGTGGGGAAAAAACAGTCTAGATTTAACATTCAGGAAAATACGGTTCAGAAAATTTAGCATGTATCACTTTGGCTCTAAAAGAAATGGATAAAGTCCAGTATTTGAGACATTTTTCAGAGCCATCTCTTTCCGAGTGCACAATTTTTACACTCCAAAGATGAAACCGGAATTCATTTCAATAAATTGACAAATTGGCATTGAACAAGACACATTACTTTGCGTGTTTGTCTTTTATCAGTTGTCGATTCAAAACAGTGACTGAGAACAAACTTGAGATATAATAATTGAAGATAACCCCCTCCCCCTCCTTCCCTATCGGGTAGAAACATTCAAATGAGATGAGATGTTTTTATAATGGGGTTTTAGTTGGGGGTTTGCTGTTGGGCTGCACACCATATTGTTTCGGTCATATTTCAATTTTTTGACCGTTTCTCATAAAATTAAGTCTCCGAATGTTACACATCATGCCAAATCACTGGACGAAATTTCAGTTTAATAAATCTGGTATTTCTTGAGTTATTGCCCAAAGAGGGAGTGAAAATTACCATGTTGATGCTTTGTCAGTGGTGGTGACCACTACTTATGCGGCGCGCCCTCTATTGACAAAATTTAAGTAGACTTTCAGGCACGTTTGTCTCCGTGCGAGACCGCTATTCTGTTTAGCGCGCCCTTTTTCGACTGAAACTTCAAACGTGTGCGGGTAAAATGCCCTTGGGAAAATAGTGAAACAAACGAACTTCCAATTCAGTAAAACATGTATTTCTTCCTTTGCGAGAGGCCTTAGAGGAATGTGTTACTTTTGTTCCATGAACATTGAATTTCCTTCGGAATGTATTTTTCCATGTAGTTTGCGCGTTTAAAACACCCGGTATTGTTTCGGTCATTTTATTTTAAACGTTTGACGGTTGCTCGCGAAATTGAGTCTCCTAATGTTACACATCAAGACCGATCACTGGACGGAATTCAACTTAATGAACCTGGTATTTAGTGAGTTCTTGCCTTAAACAACGAGTGTCTTAGTTTACCATTATGAACGTTGACTTTCATTTTGATTGTATTTTTCTCGTTTAAAACACTATATTGTTTCGGTCATATTATTTTTTAGTGTTGAACGGTTTCTCATTCAAGTAAATCTCCGAATGTTACACATCATGGCAAATCACTGGACGAAATTTCAATTGAATACATCTGGTTTTTCTTGAGTTATTACCCAAAGAACGAGTGTCTTCTTTTCGTTCAACAGTGAGGCGTCCGTGTCAATGCTTTGTCAGTGGTGTTGACCATGGTGTTGACGTATGACCACTATTTATGTGGCGCGCCCTCTATTGAAAGAATATTAAAGGAGACCGTTAGGCACGTTTGTCTCCTTGCGAGACCGCTTTTTTTTATTTAACAGCGCGCGCGCCCTTTTTCGACAGAAACTTTTAGTTGACAAAAGTATGATGGTAAAAATGCTCTTGCAAAATACTGAATTATTATTCAGTAAATCAGGTATTTCTGTAAGTGTAAGTTCTGTAGTGTACTCTCTCTGGAACACGACGGAATGATCGCTTTTGATCATCGGGAAGGACTAGGCCTACATAACACTGCAGTTGCAAAGACGTCGGAACTAAGGGGGGGGGGGCGTGGTGTAACATTCCCCGAAAAGACATATAAAACTTTTAAAAAGGCGCCCTTCTAGCCCCCCCCCCCCCACACACACACACACTTTGAATTGGCAGCGGTTGGCCGGCACCCCCCCCCCCCCTCCCCCCACTTTTAACTGTTCCGCCGCCGCTGAAAATGACCCAGATTTCATCAAACATACAGAGCGCTCGTATATATGTAATTTGTACCAGTACCCCCTGGCCCCTCTTCATCGAATAGTCCATGTCAATTTTCGTTTTTCGTCTCCAATGAATCTTGACTTTGAAAATTCCCCTTAAGCTTTCCCCTGGCCCCTTCACCTTGCCTCAGTAGAGTTCTACATCCCCCGTCACGCCACTAGGGACCAGCTAAAGCAGAAACAACAGGAAACTGTGATGAGAGACATCCCGTTCAGTGCGACTATTTCGAGAACGGGTACCCGGCGTTCTTGAACTTGAACCAGTCCCTCTGTCTGTTATGTCTCTGGCTGTGTTATTTTATAGCCAAAGGTGTAAGTAGGCCTACGGTACGTCACAGTTCTTGACGAGTGGACAAATTTTTCATTTTAATAAAACAGGCCCAAAATCAAAACCAAAGTGCATACTAGCTTTATACATGATTGCTTGGACAGATTCAGCGTTGGCTCAGGGGGCCGAGAGTGGCGGAGGGGTTAGCAGTCAAGGAATTATCAAATAACTCAAACCATTACCAAGATTTTTATTTTGGAAGAAAAATCTTTAAATTTATTTCATTTTACACTCACTTTGTACAGTAATGGTCTATAAGTTTACACAATCAACCACAAGTGTATAATAAAGACGATTGAAAACAAAGTTGCAAGCAATGGCGTTTGTGCCTGTGGGCGGTGGGTTGTGGAACACATGACCATTGGAAGTATGTTTCATATTAAACGCAAATAATAGGACCTACTATTTTTCTTTCACATAGAAAAAAAAGAGGCAGAATATTTGTCATTGTATTTGTCATCACCCTAATTTTGAACATTATTGGTCGAATGCAAAGCTTTATTGATCTCGGGCCAGGATTTTTTTCGGGGGGGGGGGTAGTCGAACCAAAGCTAACCTTTTTACGATCTGACGGCCGTGACTCGCCAAGTACATTTTGTAATTGTGTAAGTCAAGGAAGTTCTCTTCAGTGATGACACTTGCGACCGTATTACACCGGACAGACTAACGCACGTAACCGCCGTTTCCAAATGTGCTAAGTTGAGCGGCAAAATAAATATCGAGGGGCAAGCGAAGTGTCAAATTGAATGATAGATGCGGAAGTGAAAACGGTGACAGCTTTCGAGCGGCCTAAAGGCTTACTGTTTATCTGTGTGTATCAGGCTAAAGCAGAGACTTCAAACGGAAGTCTAGACAGCTACATTATTATTCACAGGGTATCTGAAGCAATGTCGATAATAATAACGCACTCTATACGATAGTGTTTTGAATTTGAACAATCCGACATCCAGCAACAACCAATGAAGACTTCAGGACTCCATTCTAGGAGCCCCTATGTTCACTGGTACCCACTGCAGCTATCCCTGTTACATCTTTCGTGTGGTAAACGAAATGCATCTAATGAAGGCTCAAAGAAATTATAGAGGTTACCAGCGATCTTTGGTACAGTATATGGCTACAGACCAGAAGGGCCTATATAAAATTCCAATAGACACCAATGATAAATTCCCAACTTGAAAAAAATCGGGTAAAAAACTCACACCTCTCACAGGTAAAGAAAACAGACACATTAAATTAAAGCTTTATTAACCCTCTTTCGTTTTCTGTTCACACTTATGGGGCTACCGATGACATAGTGGATTTTCCCTCCACAGATGAACACCGCTAAACAGTAGTCCTGGAAAGAAGTCCATCCCCATCTTGAAAAATGATCCATGCACTCCATTTACAAATAGAGCGACTTTCCGGTCCAATTTCATCCTCATTTTTTTTCAACAATTTAAGTTTCAAGTCCGGATAAGATCTTGGACCTTTATCTGCAAACCCTCAAGTGCAAGGATCACAGCACACTGAGGGCCTACGAAAATGATGATTTGGTCGGCGTATGCAGTTTTGGGCCTATTTACCGGTCTGCAACCATTAATAATATTATGTGAACCTTTGGGGGTACCGTCAGGCTTCGCGGGTTATTTTTCTTAGTACAAAATATACACTTTCCTTTGGACCCACGATTTGGACAAAATGCCCGAAGGGTATACCTTCAACCCAATGCCACATAAATTGATTACCCTGTACAATAATGAGTTGTAAAAATTATTGCTTTAAAGAGTTCATTTACCATTCAAAAGCTTGTGTATCAAAAAATGTTACCTAACTTGGGTCCCCTCCTTCGGTTCTATAGTACACCCCTACCCTCATTTTTTCATTGCTTTCTTTGGCTTCTTACTACTCAAGGATCCCGAATAGTGATTTTGAGTTTCTCTGATGCTAATGGCAAAATTCTTCAACATGTTTTACATTGTCCGACCAAATTATAAAGGTTAATGGCAACGATAATCACGGTAATATACCGACTATCGAGTGAAAACTATGCCGCTATTCTCAGCATTTCTTCCACAATCATAGAAAACGCGTCCCCATCTTCGGACGTGGGCGGGTAGGAGTACTGTAACTTCGGGGCGGCCTCAGCCAGCCGCCGCTGCATATCGGCGATCCGAGATTCGGGAATGATTCGCAGTCGGTCAACGACGCGAACGGCTCCAGACAGGACGTCATCCAACGGGATGTTGACGGTGAAACGCGTATAGTCCAGCCGATCCTGAAACGGGTAGGTGACGGAAGCCGATCGCTTCTTGGGTCTGAAGGTGACCGGGATGCAGCCGGCCATGACGGCGTCGTAGAAGGATTTCCTGGTCAGGGAGTCCCCCGGTGGTTGCAGGCAGAAGACCGAATGCCTCATCCAGTCTACGACGGGCAGCTGCATGTCCCGTCGGCACTCCGGGGTGCTGTACCACACGGCGTACCGTCGCTGCTTGCTGGAGGACGCGGTGAAGGTGGCGTACCGCTGGGACGTCCCAGTCATGTGACGCTTCAGGATCACCCTGACATCGTGTCCCTTCCGGCTCCCGACCGCCATGAACATCCGAACATCTCTGGTGGTCTTCCTGATATCACTTGGGAAGCCAGCCTGATTCTGTACCCCTAAAGATGAGGTATAACTCGAATCAAAGTGACCGTAGCTCGGGTAGGGCGCCACGACCATCCGCTTGTTCGTCCTTTTGAAATATTTTCGCAGCTCCTCGTTTACCTCTTCCTCCACGCCTATGAAGGTGATCCCACCGGTCCTTTCGGTGTCGCGGAGAAGCGGGCAATTGCTGGTCCAAAATTCTCGCTCGATCTTCCCCAGGGCCATTAAGTGTGGCCTCCGTGGGGCACCGGAGCTCCCGAAATACGGGGACGTGGACCTAAGGTAACGCCACAAGTCTTCGTAAAGTTCACTGATATCCATTTCGGAATTCACCTTACAGGTACAAGCCAGGGCGGCGTAAAAAGGCACGTAGAACGCGTCTGCTTTTTCGGCGTCCAGAGTCCTGTGCCGGCTCCGCAGCATCTTTTCGTGGATGATGATCTCCGAAGACAACTGGTGGGTGTCGCGGTACGACAGATAATCGTGCCGTCGCAGCTCCGGTCCCATCCCGAAATGATCGAACTTGTAGCAACCGTCAGAATGAGCCTGCGAGCAGCTAGTCAGATTTGTGTTGAAGCGCAAAGGGAGATCGTACACGAAGATTTTGAAACGCGGAGGCGTTTCTTGATTTCCCTGCTGTCCGTGTTGTGACGGGGATCCGTGGTGACCTATGACCGGATCGGGCAGACTGCGCTGGCCGTCAGGTCCCGCTGAGTTTTTGACACTCTCCAGACTATTCGGGGATCCTGGGCTGTCCTTTTCCGGGTAGGCCTGTAGGCGCTTCCTGTCATGTTACAAAGATAAACGAAAATACAGACATCAGAAATGAACCGTTGATCTTACTGCGGACGGGACGTCAGGTGTAATTTATATGACCATGAGTTTCGTTTCGACTTAACCTTGATCTGCTGTTAACGTAACAAGTAAAGGTGGCATTTTGCAGTAACACACAACGAGAACTGTTCTTATACCTGTCTGCTACAGGCCTACGGTCTTTACAAACCAGCAACAATTTCCAACTTCCTCTAATTTTCTCCCTTATGGGCCTGGGAGGTTCAAATATTAGACCAAAAGGTTGAAGTTCGGGCACTTTAATGGATTCCGAAAGTGTATAATGTTCGTAACTATATGTTTTCAAACAGTACTTAAACGGAACAGAAAATTGGTTTACATGAAGCCTCGTTGTCATTTCAGCATGGCGCAAGCTTAATAAATACCACATGTGCGCATGCCCAGAAACACGTGACAGTGGGGAAACTCTGCTGCCACCAAGCGATAGGAAACTAGACAAACAACTTGGTATCTAGTATTTTCCTCCCCCGCTTTAATATCGTTATAGTGAATTAAGGCTACGGCACGCACTTTGCTTCCGTTGCCCAGCAGTGATACCAGTGATGAATGTTTCATGCACTTTATATATAAGGCCAATGTCAATTTGGTAACTGTGGTTCAAGGTCTTTTGATTGCTGTGAATTACGTTCACGGTCGGACATTAATTGGCAAATTCCGTTAGACTTCTATACCGAAACGTATACAATCCTGATTGTATAATGTTATTTTCGTGATTGCAAACAAATTGAATCATGTGGATGTATTCGACTGGAGGTGGAGCAATTATTGAAAACTGAGCGACCGATCAACGGTCTGGGGAGTTACTTCAAGTAACACAAAAACAGTAAACATTGTAAGAAAATAAAACAGTAAAAACTGGATAAATTTATAAAGGAGAATTTTTTTTTTGTAATTTCAATATTAAAGGGTAATCACTTTGTGTCAGTTCTAACATGGCCAAACCATATCGAGTTACAATTTGAAAATCACGACAAACGCATTCGGTAAAGGAAGACACAATGTGAGGTATATTTTCCCACAGTATCATATAACCTGGGGCTAGAAACGACCTTTGATTTAATTGCCTGATGGCTAATGTCACACGGAACGGAAGTTGTTGAAACTGTAAAGCATGGACCCACAAAGCTACTGGCAAATATTGACGTCATTATTTTATGATAGACTTTCGACTATCATTTTTTTATGGAAAATCGGCAGTAGAATGTTGGAACTACTGACAGAGGCACAATGTGCCTTCCGCCAATGTCAACAGCACTTGTTTTTGTTTTGGTTCAAGATGATGAACTTGAAGTTTAACAGAGCATGCTGGCTATAAACAAAAGGTCGAGTTTACCATAATTGTTTGGTCGAGACACCATATTCGTGTTTTGTCTCACAACTGCAACGTAGGGCCTACGCCATTCCGGCCTGTCACTAGCCACTTTTTTGTGCAGAGTGAAACGTCAACTTTTTGTTAACATTGAGAGCATCCTGTTCTCCTGTTTGCTGGTCCCAGAGGGACCAGCCTGTAATCATCTTAGACTGACGGCCGACTCACTGACTGTCACTTCAGTGAATTAGACTTGCTTTAACTCTCGACACTGTGCCAGTCTCAAATGACCGGCCTACAGTCCTTTTTTACCTATTTCACTGACGTAACGACTACTGGCAGACTGACTCACCAACTGACTGTTATTTGGGAATTAGACTTGCATTATATTATAAGCCTCACTTTGGCCAAAAACAAATTGACTACCTAGATCCCTTAGACCAAATATGGGTCTACGACCAGCTTTATTATAGGCTTGCCAAGACTTGGTTTTCGTCTTTTTTCCCTTTTTTTTTACCTTTTCAGTATTTTCTTGTTGAAAACAAGGTAACCTACCTGAAACCCATATTTGCTGCCAGCGGCGAAACATCACCTATTACGGGCTGTTTAAGCCCAGCGTCTCCGCCCTCGTCCCTCGCGCCCTCCGACCCCGCCCCTCCGCTCGCCAACAAGTTGATGATCACTACGGCGGCCAGACAGCCCACGGGCAGCCACCGGCGCCATCGCCTCCGAAGCCACCGCAACATCTCGCCGTCTCACTCGGGGAGAGACAGCGTAATCGGCACGGTCAAGCTGTCTGGGTCTCCCGGTCAAGTCGGACCGGGCTGTCGGACTTGATCAAGCCTGTGACGAGAAAAAATAATCGGAAAATATGATGAATTCCAAGGAATGCAGTTTTCGATACAAGTTCGTGTACGTGCATGGATCCGGATATGAATGATGTACCAAGGGCTTTCTCGATCAAACTAGCAACTGTGTAGTCTTCACATCCAAGACTGGATGTGTTTTTGTTCTCCTAATGCATGCAGTCGGTCTCTCACAAGCGCGGTCAAAAAAAAGTTCAGTCTTGGACCAAGACTATACACAATGTGATAAAAGTACGTCGGTAATTGAGAAAGGTTTCATTCGGGTTAAGGCTCATGACTTTACCACAAAATTGATTATGTACGTTGACAGGGATTCGCTGGACAGGTGGCTCCTCTCAGTGACTAATTGTGGTTCAAGGTGAACCCGAATTTGTCACTCAACTGAGCATTAACGTATCTTGGGCTAGATCAGAGAAACGGGCCTTGTTTCACTCGTTCAGTCACGGCGAACCCGGCCAGGGGCATGCAAAAAGGCAAAACTGCCCTTTAAAACCCAAGAAAACGTGAGTGATCTACGACCGAGCGATGAGAAAGCCCCGAAGGATACGTGTACCCAATGAAAAAAAAAAACTCGACACTAATTTCTACATGAACAGAGTTTTCAACGAGTGATTCGCGGGGTCAAAAAAAATGACAATGTGAAGGCTTTTTCGTCTGTCATGTCATTCCGATCACGGTCCAATTGATTCAGTACACAAGTTGAGGAAAAGTACAAGTTGACTAATTGGGTTGTGGAGCTTAAAGATAAATGGGGGTCACCCACTCACCCCATCCCACCCACCAGATGATTAACTGGGGGCATCCCACAGGAAGAAGGCATCACTTAGCGAAGAAAATCCTCTCACTGACTGATACCGATACGGCATGCGCCTCACCAAGAACGAAATATAAGTGTGATCTTGTTTGGTGCAAAACGATTTGGCTAGATACCACAATAAACTAGGGTTTGTTGTTGCGAGAAAATAAATCTGAGAGGTTGCAGGCCAATGTATTTGGATCGAAAAGTGCCAACGCCTGCCCAAAATAATTACGACTTTAATTTGTCTTACAAGAGTGTTTGGTCCATCCCAACATTGTCTTGAAGTTGAGGATTTTGTAAAATATTTAGAGTCCCAGCTCTGAAAAGGATTGTTAGCTTGTACATGTAATTCGGAGGCTCTATTTGATTGAGTAACCTTGGAGAGTTCCGAGTATTTTCTTGTCTTTAGAAGTTGGGTTTGTACATATTTTTTATGCGGGGTTGCCAATGGCAATATCCACACATTAATTCCTGCCGTGTGCATGCACGTGGATGTCTACCAATGTGACCTAAATTTAGACAATATTCCAACCGTGTCATAGCGCCTATATAATTATTGCTCCCATTTTACATTAAGTCAACACAACAGTGAATTACGGAAAGAAATGTGAACTACGGTGGCATCCATCCCCCCCCCCTCGAATTTTCCAAGCATAAGTTACCACTTCAAAGTTGACAAAATCTTGACAAGAAATCGCCGCTGCTGCCCCCGGGGGACCGCACTGCCCTCGCACACTCACCGCGCAAGGTCCCCGCACCGTTTGCGCATGAATCACGCTGGGCACTACAACCAAGCAACTATACTATTTTGTTAATTTGGCCCATATGCTTGGCCGTCAGGATTTAGCGCTATCAATCATACGGAAGAATTCCATGGCTACTGCCCTTGTGGTGACCGTGGTAAACACAGAATGCAGTGACTGCCACATAATAATGGACCCACATTCATTTTTCCAGTACTATGTACTTTGAGACCATCACTCATTCTGGATATTCATTGGGATAGTAACTATTGTGCCTTCCCTCGTTCTTGTTTTTTTCGTTTGTATTTGATTTCTCCAGCAAGGGTTCCATGCGTACTGAAAGAGAAATTTGGTTTAGTAAACTTCAAGAAAGCAGGAAAAAACAGGTTTTGTTTATTAAAGCTCTAATAGTATACTATTGAAAGTGTAAAACACAAAATAATCCCTATGAAATAAAAAAAAAAACCAGACAAAGACAAGGCAAGGCCTATTGAAGCTTGCCTCGGATCCCACACATGGCTTTTTTTTATGCATCTGGTGATAATCAGCCTGATGTAACCCATATTACGGGGTAACCTATACGATAGCACTGCCGGCTCTCTTCGCCAGCCAACAACAAGGCTATAAGTCACAGTCAGTCAGTCAGTCAGTCGGACTTACAGGGGAGAGGAAGGCAGACCCTTTCTGAGGGACCAGCACAATTATCTCATAAAAGTCGTTATAATTTGGTACATATTATGTTGTTTTAAACAAGGTTAATAGTGGAACCAAAACTACATGTAAAGTGAATCATACCGGTATCAACGAACTTTGGGCATGGCGGGGAAATTCGCCGATGTGAACTCCAGACCACTTTGGCTGTTATAAGACCCGACATTCAGTGACCTTCTTGTTTTAACTGACCAATATTCAATAATCCTGACAGCGTGTGGGTGGGCCCAGACATCACATCAGCCGGCCGGGCAGGTGAAAGCTTCTTTTGCCGGGATGTCTCGTTTTGCATGTTTTGGGACGGCGCTGTTCGGATAACAAGCAAAACAGGTCGAACACAACCCTTTTCTTGTGTACATCTGCATACGCAACAGACCGAACATTGAAACAACTCAAAATTCGAAATTCAATTGGTTATTTTGATGGAAGCCCATATTGGTCATGTGCTTTATGGCATTTCAAAGAAAACTGGCGAAAATAGAAGTCTCTATTTAAGTATAGTTAAATGACAAAGTCATGCACTTATTACTGTGTACCCTATTTTGATGGAGTTCGAAGGGCCCGCCTATGAATAAATTCGGGTCATTGAGTATAATCCTAAAATGAGACTGTAACATAGCCTTGCTCTCTTGCTTGTCTCGATCAGTTGCTACGGGGTAAAATCTATCCATTGCAAAATCTTTTGAGTGGAATTCACAGAAATGTCAGTGGCACTGGACCTTGCTGTAGAATGCTATATCGACTGACAGTCACCCAGGCAAGGTCGAGACTTGAACACAGTCTAGGGTTCTACCAAATAAAATATGCATCCGCGCAGAATCGAAACAGTATAGCTCTATGATCAAGGGAGGGATCTCATTTTAACCCGTGGCACCTTTGCCATCTGCCATCACGCGAATGTTTTGAACTGATTGTCTTACACCCAAAACACCTCCGAGGAAGTCTTTTATGTGAACCATATATTCCAGTATTATGATCTTAACCATGCACTTAAAATACCTTACAGCGCGTGACTTTCCCCACGAAGGCGAAAAGAAGTAAGTTGGGATGACCTTTTAAGCCTTTTCCAGATTGGCCTGGCGCCTAGGAAATCTCAAGCCAAGTAGCTAACTCAAGGTAACATTTTGCTATCCGGATCTGTTGGCTTGGATCTGGAGGAGGAGGGTCTGGCTAACTCAATGTTCCAGTCCCAGGACTACTAGTCTTGGGCCAAGACTGGAGTTTTAGTTTTATTCCCCTAAAACAGCCGGCGCGTGTTAGCTTGAATCCAGGGCGCACGAGATCTCTTAACTCTTCAGCATTTTGTATTAAATCGCCGTCATTTCCAATTGACACGATGCAGGGTGTCGAAACTCGACCACTTCCCAGTCTTGCTACATTCTAGATTCTTCGGATTGTGATGGCAACAACCCGACAATTCAAGATTTTCTTGATTTTATATACCGACTATTATAATTATATTGGTCTAACGTGTCATGACACCATGACCGCACAGCATCTCAATATGAAATTATTTTTGCTCAACCTCCTAGCCAGCCAAACTTTTTTTTTTTATTTTTTGACCAACTCCTGCGAAGTATTATGCGACGGAACTCGGGAAGCATTCTGATTAAGCCCTAGCTCTATGATTCAACTTTTAGCGTTAGCATTAACATCACATTAAAGCCCGCCCACACCTCCAGCGTCCATGCATCGTCATATTCTTACAGTCCTTTTTTCGATGTCTGCAAAAGATAAACTCCATTCACCAACGGAAGGACATAATAAACACTCAGGACTGGATATCCACGGGACGCAGCGGAGAGTTCATAAAAAGTTCAGATCTCAGCCAGCCGCTCAGATCTTGAAATGCTAAAAGTTGGATACGATGCATTCGATTTTAATAATGTACTCAAAGTACGATTACAGTTCATGTATATCCCGAGACGACAGATAACATGCGGGATAGTTCGGTCTCCATTTTTTCTCAACTACCATGACAGATTTTAAATATAGGGCTCTCTCACTGATCCAAGTGACCCGGTCTATACATCCGGATACTGGAAAATCAGCGTTGCCTCTGCTAGAAAAGCTTTGCTCAAGTTCTAGCGAGGGCTGTTCTCAAATACCCTGTGACTTACAACTCGAATGTCTTCGATCGAAAAAAAAAACCAATAAGTGTGCCAGGCGGACACCTTTAAATTCTTTACGAGCACGGAGTCCAGTTGCAAGACCCTAAACATTGTGATTATTAATTTTGTTTTAGCTCTGGCAGGAGCTTCTATACGTGTCAACTCTTTGTGGTCTGTCTGTCTGTCTGTCTGTCGGTCTGTCTGTCCCAAAAATTTACCAAAAGTGTGGTGTTCCATATGTGCTATCGGCGTCGCATTTTTAAGCTCTGCCATGGAACATTTTGATCGATTTCATACAATACAGACTTCTTGCAACTTCAGCCTCGCTAACACGGCCAGAGCTGTATATTGTGCACTCGCACTTGTTTTCTGTTTTCTCATAACTTTAGTAGCCACTGAGCTAAACTGCAATAGGTTAGCTGTTTTACTTAGGCCTATACACCTTACTTAAGATTTTTGGCAATTTGTTGCTTCGAAAGTTCGAATGAAAAAAAAATGCAGAAAGAGCAAATGGTCCTATAATGTTTATATACCTTTAATGTAATAAAAAAAAACTGATTCCGCCATTTTGTACTAATTACTGACCTAAAAAATATCTCAAGTGAACCATACA